TAAGTCACTGAGTTTCGAGTGTACATTCAGGTGTTTTAAATAGCTGGACCTGTGATGGGATAATTTAGTTGGCTTAATGTCAAGGCACCATCACTTTGTTACCTTTCTGCATATCTGAAGTATATTAGTGAGCATGGTAACCGTCAACACCAACACACAAGATTATGACGAAAGGGAACTTCTCGCATCAGAAACGCAATCCGAATAAAAAAGCACAGGACCCGGTAATCTGTTAGGACTACGCATCCTAACGTGGCAACGATCATCATGCCTTATTCCATCGTACCTTCCAACTTCGTTACTGTGAAGCCTCATTTTAACCATGACCTCTTCCGACGAATAGTGCTCCGCAGCTGTCCTAGGCTTAACTAGGAACAAGCCAGTCAAGAAGAATCCCCCAATGTGGAGGAGCAGTTTATCAATAGTGTTTGTGACATCTGTAGTTCCACCTGGCTGTTGACCAGTAAATGTAACAGTAGCATATGGCGGGCTGTTTTCTCTTGGAGACGTCATCAGCAATCCCACATACGAAAAGTGTATTCATTGTGCTTGAGGAAAATGCTCTCCTGATTAGGAGAACAAAATGATGCGAAACTCTTCGCCACTACAGTTAGCTCCCAGACAAGGGTCTGATTGTGAATTTCTGCTCTTTAGTTTCTGAACCAGCTTCTATATTAGACCGAACTGCTCAACTTTTGTTCTTCGGTTTAGATTACTCATTTTGAGGATATCACTAAGTTTCATGCGAATCGAAAACGTTGAGTCACATTTCGGGTCGACCACTAAGAGCAAGAGTCCTGGTGTAGAAAACCAACACTACCTGTTATCTATATACCGGCTGCATAAGAAAGGTGTTTATTCAAATTGTAATGTTCCAATAGTTTTTACACCATCGGACTAACCCTATTTTGAGGACATCAAAACGTATGCGCCGGATTTTACAATCCAGTCTGACTGAACAATAATTTCCGCCGTGTGGAACATTGCTGATGTGGATAAACAATGGTTTTTATTCACAGCTTTTTCGAGACTCGAATTCACACCAAATAAATATGGAACTAAGTGATGTAGTAGACAACGTGACTTTGAAGCTCATCTGTCACTGGTGTGAATCTTATCGGAGCTATCGGAAATGGTACTGACAGATTAGATGACAAGCTGTTCGCAGGATGTCGTTTCAGCCCAGAGGTTTAAGCTCATCACCATTTCCAGGCCAGTTTTCAAGGGCCTTGGTGTTTCACGCTAGTTAGTCTTCACGGCTGTACCCAACGCCCACCCTGTTCCCCTCGAATCGGCCAGTTCAATCAACAGCCACGAGAATATTGCATCGAGGATGACATGCATTTCGAATTTGGTACATCTTAGCAAACCAACAAGAACGAATGTCTCAGCGGAGTAACGTTGATTTGCTTACTTCGTGTGCTGCCAATCAGTCGCTTAGCCCAGGACCACACACACGGCAATACTGGATGACACCACAAAAACTGGGTGAACCTTGGTGGTGCATAGTGGAGATCTGCGGCAAAGAACAAACAGTCGATGCGAAGAGGTAGATAAATTACTGTGCGCGAATAACAAACCGTACCGCCATAATTGGAAGAAGGCTACAAACCCTATTTTACACAAACTGGGCTAAATTCGCCTAACGGTTACAGATTCGACATACTGCAATAGATGATGATTCGACTTGAAGCAAGTACAGAGGGATCATCTGTTTCACGATGCACTGGTGCTTCACTGTATCCCTTCCGGTACGTCACACCGAACAGTGTCAGCAGACAAGTCAATCACCAGGGTAGTGCCAACGATGTGATTGATTCATTCTGTTTACACAGTTCTGGTTTCCATCTTTCAATAGCAATAGAATCGATAAACCGTAGCAGGTCTTGGTTCTGTGTAACACATGAAATGCGGTTGTCGGATCGAAAAAAACTTCAAAATCTATGACGTCTTACTGAGAGCCACCAGGGTAGCGTCAGCAGCAAACTCGAACAGCATTATCACGTTCAGCCGAAACGGCTTGGTTGTGAACGATATCGTTGGTATGCCAAGTGTAGTATATGAAATTCTGCATCGATCCAGTGAAGAAAACCCGTATGAACTTGTCGCAGCAAGTTGAGAAGTTCCTTGGTCATAACCTAGCTCAGGTAACTTTTTCAGTCATATAACAAACCTACCTTCGTTATCAAGATTGGGCACTCTCATTAGGCCGGCAAAGAATGATCGGACGACTGTCTCCTGAGAGAGCCTGCAGTTATATCTAGGATACACGCTGCCCAGGTAGGGCGGTCGGCTCTAAAGAGAACGCATTGAGACTGAGCTGACCCATATCCCTTTCAACCGTCCTCAGCCGGGTTTTCAATTGTCTTCTGAGGCAACAGCGTCATTCCTGACATGACGTAGGATCAATGTTTTTCTGATGATTCCAGCAACAGATGTCCAAACCATTGCAAATGCTGTCTTTGAATAAACTGAGATAGGTGTGTTAGGTCAAGACAACGTTTTTGGATCTAACCATTAGACACCGCATTACATAGAACCCTTACTATGTGTCCTTAACACCGATGGCCTTCAAAGTCCATACATCTGACCGCAGACGCCATGTTCTACAAGCATAAATCAGGATTGGACGCATGACTGTATTGAAGAACCAGATCTTTTTTAGACGAACAATGTCAGTTCTTTTCCACAAGAGGGAATTCAGCTGCTGAACGATTGCCTGACATTGTCTATACGCCATCGAATTTCTTCTTCAGCCTACTAGTTGGGGAGCGATATACTTAGTCGATACATGTTGGATGCGATTGCCTGACATTGTCTATACGCCATCGAATTTCTTCTTCAGCCTATTAGTTGGGCAGCGATATACCTAGTCGATACCATGTTGGATTATATCACTTTTTTGTTGAAAGGCCGGACAGACACATTCATGCAGGTGGAGCAGAACCTAGTTTTCGACGTATGGGTGAGCTTTTCCAGGTTAGAACCTAGCAGCACGATGTAATCAGTGTATTCCAACTCTGTTATTCAGGTTTCAGAGCCTAGGTGGATGCTATGGTAGTCCTCCAGTGCCCGATCGAGTGGCCGGCCATTTGCGAAATGAAGGAGCATTGGCAAAAGTGAGCATTCTGGCTTTATGCCATGCTGAATGTTACACTCTGTGATCTTATAACTTTCACTGATGAGTCATGGAACTTAATGAGGTTTACAAGCTTCGCAGAGACGCCGTCACGTGACTTGTAGTGACTCGGAATCAACTGAGTCAAATGCAGCTCGAAATTCGAGGCATAATGTGGTAGACCGTGTGAATTTGAAAGGATGTTCTAATGTTTGTCGCTGAGAGAATATTAGGTCCGCAAAGCTTCCTCTAGGGTGGGGATCTTCTAGATTTGGCCTTTTGCCTGCGGCTCTTGTACGGGAAAAACCTTCCAGCAGAAAGGACGCAAAATTTTGAGCACTAAGGTCAATAAGACGGATCCCACGATAACAATCACATACCATTCTATCACATTTTTCGAAGATCGATAATCATACTGAAGAACTCTAATATCGTGAAACAGATCCAGTTTTCCAGGTTGTACAGAACACTTTGTAGAGTGGTTCTATAAGTTCCAAGAAGCAGGACTTATGTATATCAGCAAAAATCCTGCCATCCTCAATTTTCTGACGACCACGGTTATCTCCGATTTAGTTAGCTATTCAGGGTTGACATCATATGGATTGTGGCTGGATAGGTCTCAGACTGGTCTTCAGAAGCAACGATTTGAACACCGGAGTTTTGAAGACTCAGCGTTCCCCTCACTGTTTCATCAATGGTGAAGTTGAACGAGGTAGTAGAGAGTGGCATCCTTGACGAACACCGGTTTGTAGGAAAGCTGCTAGAGAGCTCACCATACGCTCTCACATGCCCAAATGTATGTAACTGCAAAGACCGGGTTATACAAAATTCTGGAGCATCCCTTGTTGAGCAAGTGTAGCTAGGACCACCGATCGGTCATCAGAATCGAATGCACCTTCAAAGTGAAGGGACACGAAGATTGTGGGTGGCCTCTACGTTGGGCGTGCCTCTAACAACTGACGAAGGGGTGGGGGATTGAGGAACAAAACATCCTAGTGGTGTTAGTTGCGTTCATGTAGTGTCGTGGTATCTCATTGACCTGGGTGTCTTCACCACGTCATCTATAAAAGGTAGAAAACTTTCAGTGTGCAGTGAAACCGGAAGACAAAGCCAGTACCAACTGCATGTAGGGATTGGGGTTGGGAGGCCGACAAATGAAGTTTTAGGCCACCTTGGATCTGGAACAGAAGTGAAAAGCGGACATGGGATCGAGAACGGACGGGTCTCGTGCCGGTTCACACCAGCCCTGCCGAGTTAGAGTCAAATATAACACCACCTCTTTGTGCACACCTATTTGGCTGCAGTCGTCCGGCCGGCGTAGGAGTGGAAATCTTCAGCTGGCTACCTTCATCGCACACTGCACATTGGCTATACTTGCCACTGTTTCATCCACCTAGGAGCCGAATTATGGCAGCAGTCCGACCGCCAAAGTAGTCCTGGATAATTAGAACTGGCTTAGTTCTCTAAGGAAACTCTCTCACAGATGTGGCGGTTCTGAAAGTTCTTATCACTGGTCAGTCTAAGACTAGCTAAATGTATGTATCCTTCTGGGGTGTCTCATGGGTGGTACAGGCTACCATACCACTCTAATCCCTTACTACTACTTAGTTGTCTACATCTGATTCAGGAAAGTAGCCAATGATACACATTTTCCTGCCTCATTCCCTCGAGTTTGCACTTGGTAGGTGACTTTCGGCGACTGATGGCTGCAGTACTTATCCTGCACAGGGTCTATCAGCGTGATTCGATAATGACACACCGGCACTTTGCTTGCGTTTGTGTGCATACAAGGAGTAGCACTGACATGTCCATTTTGATAAATCATTTGGTCCGATCAGGGTTGAGATAGTGATCGATCTCTGTTTTGAATGGATGTTTATCCACGTGACTACGTAAGGCGCAGCTCTGGTAAGGCGGTATCTTTGTCTTTCGTCAAATTGCTTTTACATTGCCTGTTTCTAATTAGAGACGGATACATCTCACAAGTTGCATCTGTACTGGTATAGTGATCTATTTAGGTAGCCAGTTGTCCTTAGAACAGTTACGCATGATCACATAAGATAAGATAAGCACCAGGTAAGATCTGTTTCATTTGAGTCGTGCGAGTTTCATGCATTCTACACGTAAATCGGCTCGAAAGGCTATCAACAGCGAAAGGTTAGCAAATGCTACCAGGACTTTGTTCTTACCAGTCACCAAACTAAAACGCACGAGTAAGAAGAACTAAGTCAACACTAAAGGAAACATTCTGTTACACAATCTAATATATAATTTGCTGTTTCAGAGGGGTTTGGTAAACAATCGGTGGATTTATTGCCGGGTAACGTTTCGCTTTTGACACAAAAGCTTCGCCAGGCCAAGCGACTAAGTAAGTAGGTTGAGTGGGTTTCAAGGCGGGTATTTTTGCCAGCACCAAGACCCAACAGGGAGTGGTTCGGAACAGCTGTCATTCCATACAAAACAGGGACACTGAAGTCATAGCAAATGCTACCAGGACTTTGTTCTTACCAGTCACCAAACTAAAACGCACGAGTAAGAAGAACTAAGTCAACACTAAAGGAAACATTCTGTTACACAATCTAATATATAATTTGCTGTTTCAGAGGGGTTTGGTAAACAATCGGTGGATTTATTGCCGGGTAACGTTTCGCTTTTGACACAAAAGCTTCGCCAGGCCAAGCGACTAAGTAAGTAGGTTGAGTGGGTTTCAAGGCGGGTATTTTTGCCAGCACCAAGACCCAACAGGGAGTGGTTCGGAACAGCTGTCATTCCATACAAAACAGGGCCATCTGAAGTCATTGGAAGGGTACTGAATACGGCTAACATTAGAGTAGCATTCCAACAGAGGAAGACTTTACGCTCGGTTTTAGTGCATTTGAAGGGTCGCCTTCCGGTTCATAGGACTAGGAACTGTGTACACAACATAAAATGTAACGACTGTACGAAGGTTTATATGGGTCAGACAGCCAGGGAATAGCACACCAGAATCGGTGAACATAAGCGTTCCATTAATAGACCACCGAGAGACGTAGATGAATACCAGGCGATAGTCAAAGATTCGGCAATGGCGGGGCATGCACTAGACACTGGACAAAGGATGGATTTAGAAAATAGGGACATCCTGAGACGGGGTTTAAGATTCACACCACAGGGACTGGTGGCCGAGGCGGTGGAAATCGCCAAGCATCCCAGCGTAAATAGAATAGAATAGTGTGCAGAGTGGTCTTAGATCAGCCGGAATGACACGAGACGGTGTACAGTTATCAGAGAAATAGTCTGGGTCTAAAAGTACAAAATCCAAGTAGAGTTAGATCCAGTTAACCACCCCCGCCCCTATCCCAAAACCAGTTGTCCCGACACCCTTTAACGAACACAGGTGAACGAAATCTGTGAACGACTCCAAGGGGAATTTTCCATTAAGGTGTCCCAGACTGAAAAATCCGGATTCATCATGAAGGCGAATACTCCCCCCTAACAAATCTATCGTAAATGCTAGTCATCTCCACTAACCAACAAACAGGAACATCAGACTGAACACCCAACACTGATCAAGTCGGCTAGTCATAAGAAATCTCACGGATTGGTTCCCTGACTGCCTTAAAACCCAACCAACCTACTTACTTCTCACTTGGCCTGACGAAGCTTTTGCGTCAAAAGCAAAACGCTGCCGAGCAATAGATCTACCGATTGTTTACAAAACCTCTCTGAAACGATGACTTCCCAATCGGTCCCAAACATTTTCCAATTGATTGATTATATGCGTATGAATTCCCCAGAGAGAAAACTGAATAATCAAATTAATCGGACAGCTGTAACAACCTTTCAGTGTTTGGCTGACATACCACCTCAAGAAAACACGAGGCCTAGGATACTTCTTGTTTGTCCAATTCAAGGCAGAAGCAGTCAAGGCACTAAGAAGCCATGGATGGGCATTCCAGGCAGATTGGTAGATGGCTTGACATATTTAAGTTGCGAATCAGAGAACAAACTGAAGTGACTCTACCTCTAACCTCAACACAGTTTCACTTACAACATACCAATGGTGTCACCTCACCCGATGACAACAGGACAACCGTTCTCTTCAGTGTAAATCATATATTCATTTTCGATGTGACCTTAACCGAAGGCGCTTTACGAAGTGAGGGTTAGTGACATCTACAACGAGTAGAGGCAACAAATTCGGGCTCCTTAGGTTTGCAAACGAGCCGTTACAGCCCAGTGTTACAAACACAATCAGACCTGTGAGCATATTTGTGACGTTATCACCGGCAATCGTCTCCATCAAGTGTCGATTACTGAAGCTTTCTCAGACGCACCCTGGCCTTCTTTGGGGCACAACTCAAACAGGTCATTGCATAGCATGTGATGCATTTCTTCACTTGTCTAGAACACCTACCTCCTATTTGTTTTTGTTGGACGAATATCGGAAACCAGTCTTCTGTCAACTGGAGTTTCAAGGTCGCACCTATGAAAAATGCTACCTATTTTGCCTGTCTTTGCTTGTTTGTCACAGTCCCACGAAAGCCGCTAACATTCGGCATCGGTGTGCCCAGAAACTCGATTCATGAGAAGGAAACACGACTTGACCGTTATGTACCCACTGATTGTATCGAAATGCTACCGCGTCAAGTGGGGATCTACAACTTGCCTCAGAATGACATCCAAACAAAACTATGGGTGACGTCCTTTCGTTGATCCATTTTAAGCTGTAAGCTTTGCGAATAATTTCCGGCAACTGGGTGGGAATACAGTTGTGCTGTGACAACCAAGGCCAAACTGACACCGTCTCAGGTCCTTCGACTTTTGAACTATGAAGTTGTCACCGTAACCAAGCAAGGTCTCGACATCATAAGTTTAGTCCATTGATTTAAGATGCTCGAGAAATAGCCCTGAGTGTGAACGCTGGGCTGCTTAGTAGCGTTTTTTTACATGGTTCTCATTACAGTGAAGTCTGCGATCAGATGTGATCACTACTAGTCATAGTAGAGTATTGTCAACAAACTAATGCTGAGACGAATTGACTAGGTATAAGCACAAACGGTTTTTAATAATAAAAAACATTAATAATAATAATAATAGTAAGCAAATAAAATAGGTGTTGGTGAACAGACTTAGAAAGTCATGGTAGATTTTGCCAGAAGTGACGAGCTGGTCTTTCTAGTATGAAACACCACTACCGGTGTCATAAAAACCAGGCAAAACTTTGAAGTTCAGTCAGCTCTGAGTGTGTTCCGCACAATAGATGAACCAAGCTGAGTGTGTGACTGGGACTTGCACATTCACACTCCCATTTGAACAGTCCTCCTGTGCTGACTCAGCTGAGATTTGGTCTACCTGTCCCACGTGGGTTTTCATTAGGACTCAAGTTCTATATCCCGTGGACACCTTCAAACTTGTTCGGATGCTCTTGATAAATGTTTCAAGCGTGCTTGACATGTTCATCGGTTAAATACACCAGTTAGACGGTGTCCCTTACTACCGAGTCCTTAAGATGAACTGTGTAGATAATACGAATGGCTAACACAGACGAGAACAACCTATTGCTTATACCGTCGCTTATCGTTAAGCCTGTAACCCAAAAGACCACATCTTTTTGCACTGTTTGCCCGTCAGCTTTGAACGACCCGATGACTAGGGTCGTGTGACAATGTCCATGGCTTTTATGAGAACATTTCCCCCACTGTGGCCAGCTGTCAGCGAATCCTCCATATTTGATGACCAGTTTGAATTAGCCTTTAATGAACAACGAGTAATCATGCGAACGCCCGCCTCTACGACATCAAATGATTTGCGCAGACTACCGGTAATGACTGGTGTGGCAGTTCAACAGACACAAATGAACGAAAGAGGCAGTTTGCCGATGATGAAGAAGAAACGCAAGTGGATTTTACCTTTTTTTTACTTTATTTCCGACCTGTAGAAAACAGATCTTCCACAGACGTTGAGGTGCCTGGTGGTTGCGTGCTTGGTCACTCAAGGTTTCGCTTCGCCGTAAGCTCGCCACTCTAAATCAGGTGATAGGTAGCCAGCATCAGTCTCATTGACAATGGTGATGCCAGTAACTGCTTTGTGGCTCTGCATGTTAGATGCGCACATTAAGTCAGCCACAAAAGGCATGCGAGTGGGGCGATCAGCTGAATATGTTTTCGAGACAGGAGCGCGTTCCAACACGTCATATGAGATCACATATGCAAAGAGAGAGTGGCGTGATCTTCACTGTGAATTTGCCGCTAAATGCGTCATTGATGGTGTTGTATGTATTCTCGGATTACGTGTTGAATAGCCCATAAAACTAAGGCCTTATTTTGAATAATCGTATTGTCAGTAACATCAGGAGTAGGAGGATAAGAGCAACACAAGGACAATGAAGATTATGCTTGAAGTTGATTATGTACCAGGATAGCCAGGATCATTCGTTCATCTCCACGCATAAATCCCAGAACACAACTATTTTTTTGCAGCTACTCGTGAAAGCGCTACAAGAGCTTATGAACAAGCTGCTACTGTGCTGGTTCGTCATCAGTCAACTCACTCGAGTAGAACCCTATGCGTTTCCCAGAGTGAGATTCACTACTAAATACAAACTTTCCTCAGTTATTCATGCAACAAACGGGAGACAACTACGGGAAGCGAAGTAAAACCAAAAAAACAGTGACCATCACCCAACATAGCTGTCACACTAATCTGCAAATAAAAATAGGTTTTACTATTTCTTTGTAATGTACTGCTCATAAGGTTGCTGAAAATCCGTCGACAGCCCACGACCGGTTTCGCCTTTTTTGGGGCTCATTAGGTAGGCGCAGTCTCCGGGCTTACGTCAACCTAATGATCTACTTGAACCCAAATTGCACTGTTTTCGAGAAATACACTCATTTACAAATCAGTTTGGTTTTCTCGGGGGACTCAATTGAATCTCTCGTTTATGATGTCCTCCAACTGAATGTGTTGCACACAGGCCGCCTCATGATTCAGTCGGCACGATATTCGAGATATCGCAGTATATTTTCATAAAGGAAACTACTTACAAGGTTGCTGAAAACTCTTCGACAGCCCACAACCGGTTGGGCCCTTCTTTGGGCTCATCAGGTGGGCGCAGTCCCCGGGTTTCCGTCAACCTTATGTTCTACTAGTTTATGGATGGAACGGACTCTGTAGCTTACTCGCTTGGCCTGACGAGAAGAAGCACTCACCGTAGAAAACCTAGTGAGTGTTTTACACTGACATGTAAATTTCAGAAAACCGTACCAAACAATCCGACGGGAAGCCGGAAATTACTTTTCGATTCCAGGAGATCACATTCATTTTCGTTAGGTGAGCGTAGACGGGATAGGTCGCGTGACCAGTTGGTTAGTGGTCATCGGCTCCTGTCTTCGGGACCACAGATCGCATTTCGTGGATTTAATGAGAGATGCCAGGACTGCTCGTGCGTCCTGGTCACAGTGGTTTCCCTTGAGAGATGAATTCATCACTCAGGGTCAGGAAAATCCCCAGATTAAGGTGACAACTCTCGGTCCTAAAGTACGATGTTTCACTGAAAAATGATAAGCATTACTGATCACTATAGTGTCTAATTCCCGCATAATCACATTTCCGCACGATACGCGTTCTGAACAAACGAATTATGTCAGCTTCTCCTTCACCTTGCTGTGTGCGTGTGTGTGCGCGCGTGAGTTCATAGATGACCCGGCTGATCGCGGATGTGACTTAGTCATCGAGGCTAAGCCGAGGCCACAAACATCGGTGCACGGAGCTTGTCGGCAGTCTTGGCATCACACGGGTTCCCATTCATCCCCCTTACTGAGTCACACCCAATCGGCACCTCACTTCTTTGATCGAACGTGCGAACAAGCAAGGGGGAGATTTGCATCTCTCTTTCGCCTGAACGCACGTGCGTACGTGCTTCCTTTGGCCAACCCAAGTAACTGATTGGATGTTCTGACGACTGAGCGAAACGCTGATAGGCACGCGCACCACGCGGCAGGTTTGCGAACATCGGTCGTCTAGTCCCACGGTACTTCAAATCATGCAAGCTGACAAGGCATCTCATACTAGTCGGGGATTACGTGTGAGGTGGTTCCAGGACGTTCAGTCTATGCGAACGCCAAAGGCTGCGGTTGAAGGTCTCGGTCCATTTGCTGATGGAAAGAATTTCGAGGTCATGTAGTCATTTTAATTAAAACGACGTACCTAAGAGTGTTCATCCTCTTGAAGTGAATTAAACCACAAGGGATATGAGAACGGTTAAACAATAGTGATGATGCGGTATGGTGCAGAAACGTGGGGAAGATGCATCGCATAAGTTCTCGTTCTTTTGGCATCTGGAGTTTGGAAACGGCTTCACACAGAGTTGGCTATACGAAGGCAACCAGCTGTTCTCCACCAAACCGGCGTAATGATACTGAACAGGTGAATACAATCCCTTTAAAAAATGAATAGAGCGAATACTATTCCGTTGAAATAAATAATCGAATCGTCAGTATAAAAAATACGTTTCAGACACGCACATGGTCCACAGTACATGTGCAAAGAGTTATACCGAAATCTCTATTGACACTGCTTGGTTTCTGCACTTGTTAAACTCGTGCTCTCCCAGCCTCAATCTGGTCAACCAGAATGAAAACTAAAGTAACGTGCGAAAAGTCGAATAGTGGGATGTTACGCATTTTGGACGCAGCGTCCAACACACTACTGATCAGATTATTTTCTGATGTGAATATTTCCAACATTTATGTCTGAAACCGTGTCCTAATGTCCGGGTTCACTAGTTCTACCGTCAATATGAATTTCCAGTTCATCACATCGTTTCACTTTTAGCGTCTCATTACCATCCTTATAAACAGTTTGTTTAAAATCAATTCGTGTTCATAACGAGCAGTGTCTGTACCACTCCGAATCATACAGTGCACCAACTGTTATGATACCTAGCTTGGTTGGCAGCGATTCACTGTTTGAAATGAAGCAGGCACTCTACTTAAGTCTACGAAAATAGTCAGTGTGATAGTAGGCGTGGGTGGATTGATAAATGCGGCACGCCGGCCCAGGCTGGTTTGAAGACCAGTCCGTTCATTATGGTTCAGTCGAATTCTCACTGCTCGATGGTCCTCTTTTCATGCAACCTGTGGTCAAACACAGTCAGCGAACAAGCTGATTGGATTTGATCATTCATACCATTGTGCTGTGGGGGGTTTTCTTCTCATCTGGTGACCATTACTAGGTCCGTAAGAGTCGATCAAACAGTATATATATATATATATATATATATATAT